CTCAAAACTTCAGCACCAAACACCAGCACCAAACTGCCTCCCTGAAGACCCCATGGCTGTCCCTGACCAAACTCCCTGTCCTGATCCTCAGAAGCCTCCTCAAGTTTGTGCAGCATAGAGCCTGCCCTAAAGCTTGACACATGCCAACCCTTGAAGAATAAGTGACGCTGTTTCTGAACTAGTATCTTGTCCCAAATCCAGACCAGCTTCCCTCAAAGCCAAGACAGGGCATCTATAGCGCTAGTGAACTGCAACCCAGAAGAATCAACCCATGAATGATACAGAGCTGAAGACAAAGACAGAAGTGTCATATATGAGTTTACTAGCACCACATTCTTAAAGTCTTCCTTCATCTGTGACTTGCTTATCAAAGTGAGTCATTATACAACAATTTACCATCAGTCTTGGCAAGAACTAGCAAAAAACATGACTTAAAGACAGGAAGAAGCACTTAAGTAAGTAAATTTTCTTTAGTTAAACCACTCAGCCCTTTCAAACTTCCTCATTAACATAAAAGATAAAAATGTATCTTTAAAAATATTTTTCCGCCTCTCCCATTGAAAGTCATCCTCCTTTTCAACCCTTCCCACTTCTCCATAACGTAATTAAATAGCTATTTGGGTGCTGGCTTACCTTGAGCAGAGCTCGAGCAATCGCAATTCGCTGCTTCTGTCCACCTAGGGTACAAAAGAAATAGAAAAACAGCTGTTAAGTAATTTTAACTGAATGCCTGGGCTGAGCAGAATTAGGCATGTGTACTTTAGGAGAATAATGGAGGTGAAGAAGGGATTTTTCTTAATACTTATGGCAGGCTATGAATTGGAGAAAAGACTGATAAAAGAAAAATTATAGAATTTTTACTTTATAGTATCTAGATTTTCAAAATAAGCAATATAAAGACATACCTGAAAGCAAAATGCCTTTTTCTCCAACTACAGTGTCAAACCCTTTTGGAAAATCTCTGATAAAACTAGCAGCATTAGCTATTTCTGCAACTTTCTGAATCTCCTCTGCAGTCACAGTAGAAGGATCCTCTGCACCATAGGCAATATTTTCAGCAATAGAGCAGGAGAACAGAATTGGTTCCTGATAAATTAAAAAAAATGTAACTAATATGGTAGATCTGTAATTACATGCATGTATTGTTTACAAATAACATAAATCTCACTTACACAACCCCAGCATTTTTATTATATCCATACAAAAGAATATGTAAGCTACAGTTAATTGAAACAAACATCTCCTAACACCAAAATGGGCAGTGAAAACCAATTTAAAAATAAGTTTCTTTTTTTAACTGACAAAACATAGCACAGCATAACCCTCAATTCCTAATATTTGAGGAAGAGTTCAGAAAGAGCTATTAATTCAAACATCAAAAAAGCTCCCTTTGTACTTTACAACATATCATAATTTGCAGCAATGATGACTCTTCTCTTAATCCTACACAGATTTCACAGCGTTTTGTGCATTTATTTTCATTAAAGCTTAAAACAAAGAAGAGGATTGGTAGATAGGACAAGTGATGTAAAATGGGATAGTGCCTGAAACAAGGTAAGTCTGCTCTGTTTATAACATAGAGATGTGCTATAGTATGAATACCAGTATCAAGCTTCTACTGGTAACTCAAGTGGAATACACACATTCAAAAAGAAAAATGCTAGTGTGCCCACCAGAAAACCATTTTTGCAGAAAACCTTTTGGTGGCATTCTTAGACAAAGTAGATGTTTTGAAAAGCAACATATACCCAGTTACGCTCATGCTTTTAACCAGAACATCTACCTAAAACTTAATTGCACTGTGAAGTATCTAGCGTGAGGAGGGTAGGAACAAACATATTTTAATTTATTAAATAGGTGATTTTTAAGAGATGACTGAACATCCTTCTTATAGTGAGGGGCCCAG